GGCAAGAGGGATAACTTTGTGCAGCAATTGGAGCTTTGTAAGACATTACTGAATAAACAGCATATATAGACATAGAATAGAAAATCCCTTTATTGTCCCTCAATGGGAAAATTTGACCTTAAAAAGTGTATAAAAATAACAGAATAAATGACAGAGTTAAAAGTATAAGAAATAAAATACTGTACTTGAGATATATATTTGTGTATACCTGTATAAATTTTCTTGTATATAGTGATAAAAAATATCTATAAATGTATGAGTGGCTGAGCTTTGCAACGTGCATCCATTCAATCAGAATACTCTATTACTCTTAACCTCACTAAGAATATTTAAATGCACTGAAACTATTGTTTTCAGCAAAAAAAAAAACAAACAAACATGAAATTTAGTTCAATATTCAACGAGTTAAAGTTCATTAAAATTGATTCTGTTCCTGATCAGCAGTCGCACTGAGGGGAGCTGTCGACCGCCCTAAGATGGCGCCACCAAATCACGTCAGCGCCCGGAGACGAAAGCTGTGGATGCGGGTCTACTCTAATAACAATGGTTCCAACTAAGAGACACTGTTAGAGCTACCAGATGTCATCTACTCTAGCAGCTCCTTGTTCTAACAGCTGAATGATGGAGCTGTGCTGCTATACGGAGCAGAAAAACCAGATCAGTAGAAACATTCATCCTAACGGCTGGTGATACTGACTACTACACTACGCTCCGCTGTCCTGGTAAAGTTCGCATACTGAGTTGTAACACGATGCCACAGGCGTCAGACGCTGGCACAGAAACTCATGAACTCACCTGAGACGTCAAACTTTGCCTCCTGCAGCTCCTGGAACAGAGCGCCCCTCGGTGGCAGAGCAGGGAACCGTGTCTCCAGCGCAGCAGCATACTGACTGTCTTTAGGCGTCACTTTACCTGCAGCAGGAGCCATGTTGACGCAGTCCAGCACCATCGCTGCTGCTCACAAACACGCACACACACAATAACCGCAAACGATCGTTCGTCATAAACCTGCAAGTCAGCATGATCGGTAATCTGCAAACCGTGGACCGGATCAGCGCATGCATCCAGGTGTGTGTGTTTGTCACAGGCCGTACCGTAGAGCAGCTGGGCGAGCTGCTGGTCCAGGATCTGTGGAGCTTTCTGGATGATGCGTTCGGTTACCAAGGTGGCACAGGATCCCACCATCTCCACGGTAACCGGGCAGCTGGGGGAAGCTTTTCTCTCAAGCTGATGATGGTCGAGTACCTCCACCACTGCCCCCTCCAGGTCAGCGTCTGAACTGCAGCAGAGAGTTTTTATAACAGACACCTGGCAGATTTATCAGCAGGTAAAGTCTAATACCGTTTCTCAATTCACAAGAACGTGAGTACGGACTCGTTTCCTCGCCAAG